CCACAGACAATAGACAGCTTAGCTTGTCTTTTTGTTGTTCTTAATTTTGTCTCCTTTCTTTAAAACCACTCAAACCTCAAAGATTAAAGGAGTAAATTATCACAGATGAAACGTGCGCTTTCACTGTGTGCCATGACCCCTGTAATCAACCACCGTACGTGCTTTTGTGCCATCTGTGGAACTCGGAAAAGGGACTTGGAACTTTTCAACGTTCATGACACAACTGTTGGAAACAATAAACTTGTTTAAATGTCCAAACAATGTAAGAATGTTGATAGCTTGGCTTTTGCTAGATCAAATTATACCTGAACGGGCAAATTTTTGTGTGTGTATATGTCGTTATGGTTTAAGTTACACATCCATTAGAGAATTTTTAATTTTTCACTGAAAAACATGGCACTTAATGATGATAATGAATATATTAATCACATATGATTATTCCTTGCTACTTTCCAATTTTGTATGAGTTCTCCATTTTTTCAAAAGAAACAAAGGTTGATGTTGAGAACTCCAGTTTCTTAATGTTCTGGAAATTTCAATACTCATTGTTTCTTAAGAGTTTCTTAATTATGATGTCATGAATGATTTTATGAAATGTTCGTGACCTTTTTTCACGTCAAGAGATTCGCTTCCGTGCTGACGCTGTATTTAGACGCGGGAAGTATATTTTTATCCCTTGTGTCTTAAGTTCTAGGCCAACAGGGCAATCTTGTTCTTGGATTTTACAAAATTTCGTTGTTCTCAGTTTTATCACGATTTAATAGTTTCTTAATTTTTTTGCTTCTAGTACTGAAGTTTCTTATTTTTTTCTGACTGTCCAGTACTCGTTTTTAATAGCCAGTTTCTTATAAAAAAATGAGTGTAGACACCCAACTACTCTCAAATAAACAATAGCTTCCTAGAGTTTTGATTAAGCTGTATCAAACAAAGGAACCTGAAGACACCCGTTTACTTAAATCAGCAGTAAAAAAAGTGTCTATTCGCTTTAATTATATTTATTATTTGACAATTAGCAATTGCTTGTTTATTGCTGTAGTTAGAGTCCTATAAAGATGAAGAAAAAACAAAGAAGGGAAGTTTGAATTTGAAAGGGTAACAAAGAAATCCCAAAGATCGAACTTGAAGAGGACACCCCCAATAGTTCTGTATCCTTCGGTAAATTTTGTTTCATTCGGTAAAAATCATTTGTTGGTAGTCAATAGTAAAAAAGTAACGCCAAGATTTTACTTTACTTATTTTTATCAGTAATTATCTTCTTATCAGTAGCGAAGCGGGGGGGAGGGGGGGGGATATTCTTGAATGTATTTTAAGCGGATATCAAGGGCATCGTCGCAAAAATTTTCTGCTTGCTTCGCTCGCAGGGAGCCTCAATGTTCAAAAACTGTTAATTTTTTTAGATATTTGATTACAACTTTGGAAAATCACTTTTTACACGTAGAGATTCCTTGCCTTATACAATTGAGGATTTAAACGTTAGTGGAATTGTGAAGGAAGTGGACAGTTGTAGAATATCGTCAGCCACCTATGACATTGAATAAAGGGAAATTGCCACGTAAAAATGCCATGGCTTTTTCAAACACATTTACAAAATGGGTGTTTTCCCAAATTTTTATGGTTATGACCAGCAAGAATATTTTCCTCTTTGGCCTACCAATCTTCCAAACCTGGCTACGCCACAGTTAAAAACCAAATTTCAAAAATAGGCGTTTCCATCATTTTCCAGTGACTTGAAGAGTGTGGCACCAAAATTAGTGTCTAACACCCCCCAATCATTATTGCTTAAATCCGCCCCTGCTCAACAGGGATGGGGCTAGGGGAGTGTTGGGGGTGGGGTTCCACCCCGTGTCATGGCAAGCTAGCCCTCGTCGGAAGGTCAACAAACAAACTCGTTGTTTTCAGCCTGGCATGAGCAAGATTGAATTCAGGCTTAAAGCTGAATTCACACTAGACGCGTCGCGGCGCGGCGCGGCGCATTGCGGCATGTAGCGTTTTGATGAAAAACGCATTGATGTGTTCACATCTGATGCGTCACATTGCTCTGCGTTTTCATGACAGAATTAAAATGGCGTCCAGCGAGAATGACGTGCTGCTTGCTTTAGCATTACAGACTCAAGCTATTGCCGCAACTTTGCTGAAAAGAAAGGAAAAGAAAACGCGCTCAGTTTGGGTAAGAAAACTATGGAAAAATCGAGAGCAGCAAGGTCATTACAACAATCTGATAGCTGAGATGAGACTGCAGGACCACAGTATGCACTTCAATTATTTCCGAATGCTGCCGTCTACATTTGACGATCTTCTACACCTTGTGGGGCCTTCGTTGGTAAGACAAAGGACCCGTTTTCGAGAGCCATTGCCCCCTGCTTTGAGGCTAGCTGTTGCTGTAAGATACCTGGCAACTGGTGAGTCACAGGCATCTCTTTCGTACAACTATAGGATTGGGAGGTCTACAGTATGTGACATTTTAAACGAAGTGCCAGATAAAATTTGGTGTGCATTGAGCCCCATTGCAGTGGCTGCACCAAGATCTCAAGACGACTGGAGAAAACTTGCAAATGATTTTTGGAATTTATGGGGGTTTCCTTTGTGTCTTGGAGCCATCGATGGAAAGCACTGTGTCATCAATTGCCCCCCAAATTCAGGCAGCTCCTTTTACAATTATAAAGGAACTTTCAGCATCGTTTTGATGGCAGTATCTGATGCCAGCTACATGTTTACTTACGTTGATATTGGAGACTACGGGAGGCAAAATGACTCTAGTGTTTTTAATAATTCTTCGTTTGGTGATGCACTGCATAATGGGAATCTTAATATCCCAACTGAAGATTTCCTGCCAAATACAGGAACAAGGGCAAGATTCTGCTTTGTAGCTGATGAAGCTTTTCCTCTTAAAGAAACAATTCAGCGACCTTATCCTGGGAAAAATTTAACAGAAAAGCTTCGAATATTTAACTACCGATTATCTCGGGCAAGACGGGTAGTTGAAAATGCGTTTGGCATTTTATCTGGCAGATGGAGGTTTTTGAGAGCCCCAATACAGGCCCAGCCAGACAAAGCAGCAAAGAATGTTCTCGCAGCCATTGGCCTCCATAACTGGCTAAAAAAGCATGACGATTCCCAGAAATCATACCGACGCCTATATTGCCCTGTTGGGTATGTTGACTACGAGGACAGCCATGGAATCCTTCATAAAGGGATTTGGAGATCTGAAGTTTCAGAAGCTGGTGCCCTGGCTGATATCACTCAAATGGGGTCGAACAACTACCCAAAAACAGCAGAGAGATTTCGTGCTTTGATGGCCGACTTTTTTGTATCTCCACAAGGCGAACTTCCGTGGCAGTACACTTATGTTAGAAGGACTTCATATGAGCCAGTTCATTAGGGTACAGTTATATCTTGATAATTTTTCATTTCATTATATTTCTACTTATTAAAGAATTAAAATATATATGTATAAATATTTTCAAATTGGTTGTCCTTTTTACGTTAGAAAGAGTTTTTTATTGCGTGAGAAAATTCACCAGATTTTCCTAGCCACTCCATTATTGCACGTTTCTTTCAAATAGCACAAAGAGCATTAAAAACACCTCATTAACGAAGTCATTAGTGACAGTTCCATACAAACATTACACAAATAGCATGTTCGTATGAAATTACAAATCCTACAAGTCACGAATGTTATTTGCACGCGAGAAAAACCTGTATGATGAAAATATGAAAAGGGGTGAACATTGAAAACGTTAATTTTTTTTAATTGCAAATAATTTCATTTTCCATTGGATTGGCTTTGTTGAGCGCTTCACAGATTAGAATAAAACAATTCTTCCCCAAAAGACCTTTTTTACTTGAGTAACTTACAAAATTTTAATCATTTGTCATGGAATGGATTACTCAAATATTCTTAATTTTTAGTGTAGTCAAAAAAAACAAGAACAAAAAAACACGAGTGTTATCTATTATTCAGTGCAATTCAACTTCAAATCTAGTATAAAATAGCACCTCACCAACCATGTTGATATACCGACTGAGTTTGAAGGAAACAATTTAAAGAAAACGATTTGAAGAAGAATTACCATCCACTTTGTAATCTATTTAACAGGGGCCCTGCCCAATCTTTTTCTTTAAATTTAAAAATTGCCCGTTTTTGTCAGAAAAGTTACCTTTTTTGATTAAATTACCTTACTCTTTCTTCACGACAAGTTACATTTTTTTCTGAAAAAGAAACCCGTTTTGGAAAATGATCTTTAAACAAAAAAAATAGGCAAGACCGATGTACAGAAAAGGAGAAAAACAACTTCATACTGTCTGTAAAATAATGACAAATCAAAATTTGGCAGCTTTGAACATCTCGTAAAATCTTTTAATGCGTCATGAAATGTGTTTCTTCAAAATTTCTGTTTCCCATAAATTCTATCTTTAAAATGTGTCTAGAAAATCAAGCTGTTCATAGCTCTTATGCAGGTATTTTTCTGCCATTTTTCCTAAAAAAGCCTATGATATCTATTCCGTTAAAAAATGCACTTAGAAATCGTTGTGTAATAAGACTTTTTCAATAGGCATTAAAATTAATTCTCTATTTTATATACACTCTATTTTTTATAAAGACAATTTTATAAGAACACGAGCCTCAAAACTGGTCAAAAGTTAAGAACAAATAAAGAACAAGCTGAGGCTGAGATTCTGCAAAATGCAATTTTGAACAACGTTTTTTCTCAAAATCGATGATTTTTAGCGATGTGTGGGTGCATTTTCGGTGAATATTCAATTTGTCAGCAAATTAAGGCTGTCTCACTCACTTTGTTGGCAAATGTGGCCTGAACACCTCCTTAGGCCAGCCTAAGATTTTCGAAAAAATTAAGAACAGTCAGCCTGAATTTGAATTTACTGGTTCTTATAAAAAAAGAGAGTGTAATACAGAAGAAAGGTAACACGGTATTAATTGTAACAAAAAGACACTTGAAACAAAAAGACGCAACTTTTTCAATTAGAGCAGTTTATAGGTATTACTTTGGCTCTTCCTGCCACCTAACTTCATGCAAAACTTGCTGTATTTTAATTTTGGCAAGGCTCTTCTGATACTCAGTTAATTTTTTTAGCTCTTTTCCGATGCTTTGACCGAACAAATCGTCTTCGTCTGCCTCTCCTTTTTTACTGGCAGTGTTAATAAAATCGCTTGTACTGCGAAGCACACTCATTAAAACCTCACTGTCAGATTCTTTAACTGTGGCCTTTTTCTGCCTTTTTTTGGGGACGACTGAGTCATTCAGTGCAGCAGGAACAGGAGAATTCGGCTTTGATGATTGCGTCTGTTCCAAAATAAGGAACGAATCGGACGAAAGAGTGCTCAGCTGCTGCTCCGTCTCATCGACCTCCAAAGCGTTAGAAAAACAGCTTTCTGGAGAGGCTTGTACAGTGTCATCGCTGACCATCTGTAGATTTCCCCGCGTCTGTCTGTGCTTCAGAAAGGGAGCCAAAAATTCAAGCAGTCTAAAGTAGGGCCACGAAGGCTCCAATGGTACACCTCCAGCACTTCCAGACGGCTTGTATTCTCTTCTCATTTTCATAAACCTGTCTCTCAGGTTTTTGAAAACTTTTTTAAGGGCATTTGTATCTACATGAAAGAGCAAATAGACTCGAGTTAAATATTGTAGCATAAAAACTTTTCATAGGCTGGGTTATTCTTAATTTTTTCATCAAGAAATCTACACATAAACAATATACCACTGCATGAAAACATTTGGTGGCTCGTGTTCTTATAAAGTACTCTTATCAAAAGAGTATAAACTTCGATCTTATCCGACGTTTTTCATTCAAAATATCACGCTTGTCATGTAAAGTCATGCTTACAATTCAGGACTATTTTTGTGTCCCCCTTGAGATACGAAAAATTCAATGAAAGAATCAGGCATTATTTGAAAGGTGCCAAGTTATCCTACGTTAAAAAAAATTGGCTGTTCCCATTCTGCTTTAATTGTAGAATCGACATTCCTTCTTTGATAAATCGAGAACATGCATGATATTTCATAACAGGAATGCAAAAGATTTAGGACACATACCTTCAATGAGTTCTTTTTCGTTTTGGTACGTCTTCTCAAGTACTTCATTGCAAACATTTCGCCAAGCGTTCTCCCTAATTAACTCGTCTTTATACTCCTTTTTCGTCGTATCATATAAACAGGGGTATCTTCTCACTGCTTCGATTAAACGTTCCTTGTCGAAGCTAGCCGCCGCCATTATCAAAATTTGAACTTGTCTGCAAGGCTTGCACTATTGTTCTGAAGCGGCGTGTCGCGGCAAAGTTGGATTTATCCAACTTTGCCGCATTATGACGCATAGCTAAAAAAAACGCGATGCGCACGCAATGCGTCTAAAAACGCTAACCTTATATGGGCAGCGGCAAAAAAAACGCGTCTAGTGTGAATTCAGCTTTAGCCCTCTGTTCCTGCAAGGCCCTATTTTGTTTCCTTTGTTCGTTGAAAGAACACACGGTGCTTGCGTGAGTTTATCCTTGTTGACCTTCTGGTTGCTCAAGTTCACGTGTCTTTCTTCGCTATGTTAACGAGGTCACAATCTACGCGCAAGGGCGCCTGCCCAACCAGCGGCTAATGGGCTCGGGGGCCGCTTGCTGCCACCATGAGCCATGGCATGCTCAAGACGAAAACAAAGGGGCGGTTCCATTAGTGGCCCTTGCATCCGACGGAATAAAAGCAAAACATGAGCTAAACAGCTGATGAATCGACTCCAAAGAAGCGAGAACAGGAACAGCAAGGAGCTGCAAGGAACAGAGAGATTCCTCAACAGGCTGCGAATTATTACTTCACTAACATGAAAATATTCCTGGTTTGTGGAGTGGCAAGCGATGCAGAGAGAAACCAAGCCATGCTGCTATTTCGAGAACTCTCTGCGAGAGGAAACGAAGTTACCCTGCTAGGTAAGACAATAGATTCACTTATTTGATGTGTTTGATATTTTAATACAGTTTTAAAGCTTTTTGAGATAACCTTACAGCGAAGCAGGGGAAAGCTTAGTAGATGAGTTAGCTTGCAAATGCCATCAAATACCCAAAAGGTTTTTTGGTATCATGTTTACCTTTGTGATGGGAAGCAGGAACGTAATCAATCGAAAGGGTTTTACCCTGGCTTTTTAACGATTCAATACTCAGTCAAAATTGAAATCTTTGAGTGTGAATAAAACCCAATCCTGTATTTGTATCACACCCCCAAGTCCGTCAAACGCTGCTATCATCGCCACGAAAATATAGTCTGCTGGAGGAAATTTTCAGATCAAAATTTTATAGTCAAATTGAAATGAATGAAGGATATTAACAGGCAAACAATGCTGTTGATCCGAAGGCAGCATATGACTGCAGAACTAATTTAATTAATTCACGTGAGCAAGCGCTGTTAACCGAACGGGCGAATCAATCTAAACAGAAGAAATTTGCATTTGTATTGTAACAGGGATTTGACGCCCCGTTAAAAGTCATTTTAGGAAACCTTTTAACAGACAAATCATCCTCCTTGCCACTTGCCATTATTCCCGATGGGAATCTTGGCTCTCTCCCAATCACTTCGTGGGGAACTGAATGCGCCTTTTAATGACGTCATGTTGTCCTGCACTAGAATTGATTGCTTCCTCTCAAGTGATTTGTCAGGCATCAGATTGTCGAACCTCGGCGAATTGTGGTTCTACGACTGACAAACAGTGGTAAAAATGACGACCATGGGTGAAAATGACAGCTTGACATAACAGTGTTGCAGTTTCCCTTCTATTTTCAGCAAAACTTGATACGTTTTGCGATTATGAGAAAATTGAGTAAAACCTCATCTATTTGAACTGTCAAGGTTCTCTAGAATATAGCCAGAATAAATAATCTATAGTTTTAGAGATTTTTAACTCTTTTGGTTTACCTTGTCACAGCTACCTTTATTTTCATTTTATTTGTATATAGAATCTACATGCTACGAAAAAAAGTTGAAAATATTGAAACTTCATTTAAGTATCCGGTTAACGCTGAAATGAAGATTAAAATGTCTATAAAAAGGTTGCAAATAATTTGCCCAAGGGTCAATTAAATTGACAGTTTGTTCATCCTTAAAATTACCTGTCTTTAATTTCCAATTGTGTCCTGTTCGATTTTAGGGCAGAATTTTACCGTATTTGATACCACAATAATCGTTTTTGTCAAAGGTTAGTCCAGGTCGGGCAAAGGACTTGTGAAGACCGCAAATGTTATATCTGATTGTTGGGATGATTGTTGCGAAAGAGTGCTGGACGTCTTGTGAAAGACCCCAAGCTTTAATCAGCTCTGATTCCATCATTCCAATCAATTTAAAAAATTAAAAGGCAATAATTGACGTGTGTAATTTTACGATTGCCAGTGGGGGAAGGGGTTAATGGAAACCTTGCCCGTCCTTTATTTGATCGCTGTCCTATTGGGAATGAAATGCCTGATAATTGAATAGATCTCGAAGGTTATGATTATAATTATTAAGTTGATGAAAATGATAAAACAAAGATGGAAATGTCTGTAATTCCTATGATTTATTCCACTGATTGTAAAAGATATTTTCAGGACTTGTAACTCAGGACTAAGTTTTGGAAGGGGCACTCGGCAGACGGGTTTCGGATCCGAGATCTGTCTTTTTCTGGCGTCTGTGCAGTTTCCAGTGGTCTTTTGTTTTTATTCGTAGGGATCTTCTTATAGTGGAATTCACTTCACGCACAGTTTTCTGTAAAATATTCTGTTGGTCTTGAATAGTCCTTTCCCAGATGGACATAGAAAACCAGATTTCTTTGGTATTTCAAAGTTTGCCTCATTTTGGTTCACAATATTGTTTTTTGTCTTTTCCGAATCTTTTCTTTATTTTTCATGGTTTCAAAAGAGAAACGGGGTTTCGAAACTAGTATAACTCAATTAATAATTGAAGAAATTATTTGGTTGGACCTTACATTTCCAAAAAATTAACAAGACAATTTGTCCGCTTTCGAACGGTCTTTCACTAAAAAGAGAGTGTTATTTGGCAGCTCTTTGCAGATCTATGGATACAACTTGTCTTATATGCAGTCACGAACGTAGCAAAAGGTAATGGGGCGAACGGGAAAGGGGGTAACGGGGAAACGATAATAAATCAAACTAGTTTTCAAAAGGGGCGTTTCCGGATATACCAAAGGACGTTGTCACAAAGTTCTCCAGACCTCATTTAGGCTTGCTTCGTTGATCCTTACCTCCTGTAATCTTCCAACTTATCTACACTACTGTAGGTTAAATTGCAAATGCTGTGTGAAATATGGATATGAGATTTTGCTTACAAACATTGTTTCTTTGTTATGAAGTACAGATTTACCGTTCAGTAGGCAAGAAAAATTTGATTGCCAGTTCTTCATGCACCCACAGCCCACTCACAATCCAACATAATTAGCTTGTTCATACATGTAATTGCTGTTGCTGTTGTGCATGTTATGAAAATATCCCATTAAAGGTGGTAGAATTTGGCAGTTTCCCTCGCCCCCAAGAAGCGCACTAAATTGGTTCCTGCTGATCAAAACAGATAAAATTTGCTAATGGAAATTTGATGCTATTTTTCCTGTCTTATTTATAAATTAATATGAATCGTACAGTGGTAACGTGCTCGTCTTGAACATAAGAAACGCAAAACCTAGCTTAGCTTGGGGAGTGCTTTTCCGAAAAATCCGAAAATTAAAGTTTTTGTGAATGGCTGCATGCGTGCGTTTCTGACATTTGACTGACTGTTTTGTAAACTTCTATTGGTAAAATACTTTTGCTTCTTTTACAGAATTTAGATCTGAAAAGTGGATTTTCTATAAAATTATGGAAAATACAAAGAATAATAACGTGATTTTTCTTTTCCACAGATCTCTCTGTGTTGCTTGAAGATTCGCAAGAGAGCATATCTTCCTATCTATGTCAGATGCATCTTGCTCATGTTCTCGATCTGATCGAAGAAGCAGAAGCGACGATAATAACAACAAATGAACAACAAGGCCCCCTTTCGCAGATCATTCAGAAGCTGATTAAAGCTGCGGCGAACAGGATGTTGGATGGAAATCGTTATGTTTGGAATCGGGAAGGGATGAACTGTGTTGTGTTGGGAGGATCTGTGAAGAAGAACCAAGTCGCTCGCCAGCTTTGGGGCATACTTGCAAACGATGCTAAACTCGACTTATCGGATATTTTCCCCGTTGGAATGCCTAGAACATATCATATTGATCATAATCGGGAAACTGCGGGACCTTGTGTTTCATGATCAACGGGTACCTGTGTTTGACTAGCACCTTGTCTATGGGTAAAGAATAATGAATGCTAGAGCCGTTCGTAGAAACCGCCCTTATTATTTACGCATCACCATTGACGTCTAGGGCACCTGGCTGCCCCTTGTTTCATGGAAGCAAAATGGCCGCTTTTTCGGTTGTTTTTAAAGCAAAATTAGCCAGCATTGTGTTATGGTGATTAGGCGAGTTGCTTGTGTTGACGTCTGTGAGGAGACTGAGCTTCGTTCACGAAAGATTCATTCAGTTTTCAAACGCTACTTCCAGAATTGGTTTTTAAAACAGAGAGAACCTTATACAACACACGCATTCTACATCTTACACAGAGGTGTTACTTAACCTCGCATCCATTCTTTTCGTGCGCCACTCTGTTAAAATGTAAAGGGTTTGTGATGGCGGAGCATATGTAAAGGTTCATAAACGAAAAAATGTATTCTAATTTATCATGTAAGGCTTAATTTTGATAAATACAGAAGCTGAACGTCGGAAGCTGGGAGTTCGTGGGGAAACAACCCTCTAAGATTTCAGAGATAATTGATTGTGGGGATAATCGATACGACACCGACAAGACCGTTTCCAGTAGAAGGATATGTCTAAAAGGGCTTTGCCAATGAAAAGTAGCTTAGACCATGTCTGACAAATTAACTACCAGAAGAAAAACTCGTCAATTGTTAACATGCTCTATTATTGCCCATTCAGTAAATTTTTACAAAGAATTCACACGTAACTCCTGCTGTGGAATATACCAAGAGGGTTTTGCAGAGTGCTGTTATAGAGAACATGTGCACTACGTAACATTACAACCAGGGCTTTTTCTTAAGGGAAGCAAATCGAGGCCACAATTTCTAATGAAGATTGTTTTAAAGCAGACAAACTTAACTTACACGATATACCATTGACAGTTAATGGTAGAAACAGCAATATTACAAAAAATATCCTACAAGAGATTCCTGTTAAAGGAACATGTACGCTGCTTGCCCTCTGACAAGTTGAGCCTTTAAAAAATTCTCATCCTCGTGTAAATTAATGTGGAAAACATCCCGTTTGCCTTGCGGCATATAAAAACTTTACGCCAAGTTGTTTGTTTGCGTCATAGTAAAGTCGTTATTTCCGCATTTAATTATGTTCGTCGAGGTTCTAAAATGTTTATTTGTAAAGTGTATTTTTAGCATTTTCCTTGAAGCTAAATGCACTTCGTCTAATGGAACGCCAGAAATTTACCCTGTATTATTCTTTAAGATATAAGGCTGTCGAAAAGAAAACCAAGTTGGGGGTCAAAAAACCTTTATTAGTGACCGTTGCATTCAACATTGTTTATTTTCGCTAAAACTAATAGGGAAGAAGCTAAAGTCTTATAGTCCCCCTCTGACGGTCATGTATTTTGAGTGAAGGCGATAGAGTTGGTTTGTTGATGTCGCTTTGAGTTTTGTTGAATTAAAAGGCTGGTAGCTAGAATGGAGTCTTGTGCAGTAGCAGGTATATACAGCTGATTAGAGTAGAATTACGAAGTCAAATATTTTTAATTTCACTGCGAGAATCAAGGGTTTTTCTATTATGTCACTTAACACCAAAGATAGTTTTATTTAGATTAATTTAATTAATTTGGTAAGATACAATATTGTAAATACGTTTAAAAAAATCTCGAGCGGTAAGGAATTGACATACTTTGATATACAGTCAATACAAGTAGATGACAATGGAAACTTGCCCTTCCCTTCTTTTCGAGCTTCATTTTCAAGTTTTTTTAAGATGATTCAGTTGAAAATTGAGTTAGGAATTTCGTAGCGATAACAAGGAGGCACTTCCTTGCCAATGCGACTATCTAACTGGTTTGTTTCCGTTTTTTGGTGAAAATTTGGCATGACCAGTAACCAATGATTTAATTTGTCGATCTTGGTAAACCCGAAAACTTTTCTGTGCGGACAGCCAAGGTGCGTTTCTATGCTTGTCACATTCACTTCTGATTCAAAAATCTGGCATTCTTGGATCAGCTGGTTAGAAGTGAATTTGGCAATATGAAAAACCCAGCAAAGTGTCACTGCATATGATTTCTAGGTAGACGAAAGCAAAAACCACAACTGGATAACAGTAGCATATGGCCTTTTCCCTCGTTTTGTCATTGCTAGAATGCAATTCCTTACTGTTTGAGAATACTTGATTGATTGATTTTGCATTTGATGTATTAGAGAGAGAATAAATTTTACTTGACCACGAAAGAGCCTTATGACTTTTCTATTTGTTCACTTTTCCCAGGGACGCTATTTTAAAGATTCGCTGACATTGTGTGCAAATGTTCTCTGATCTGTTGAACATGACTCAATACCCTATAAACAGAGCTACACGCTTTGGTGTTTAGAACAGGGTGAGCAATTCTAAGTTTCCATTCCGCCTCACCCTTTATGTGATAATGGGCCACTGTTCATAGTAGATTCCATCAGCTTCTGGAGAAAAAATTGTCAAAATACCGAAGCTCCCATGATGTAGGAATACTCCTAGCTGTACCCAAATTAGCAGTTTTGATCATTTGTATCCTCAATCGTAAAACTGATATAGGGAAAGGAATTCAACATAGAGCCATATAAATCATGAAAACCATAGAAAAAAGATTCTTATTCTGCAAGATAAATCTATTTTTAAATATAAACACCAGTACAATGTTTTGCAGTAAAATTTCTTAAAATTTGGAAACTTTTTTCGATTCGGTCCGCCATTTAGTGATATCCTTCTTTATTCTGTCTACAATCATTTTAAGGCTTTTCGTATTCATAAGAAGCTTGTCAGCAGCAGATTCCATCTTCAATTCATTTGAACTCTTGTGTAAGCCTTGCATGTACAACAGTTGGGATTTCTGCCATATCTGAGAAATATAACATATTCAGAGTCATCGATAGTTATATATTCTGCAAGTCTTTTTAGATACACAATTATTATACAGGGCAATTAATTTCTCTCAGTGTGTGATAGCTAAAACTTGAAAGAAGAACAAGATTTGTTTGAACTATAGAAAATAGGTCCGATATCCGCCTAACCGTGCCTCTTTTGCTCCGCTATTCGTTAACCGTGAATATGAAACATCCGCTAACGCACCCAAACCTAGGCCAAATACTGCGTTACCGCGAAACTATAATGGACCCACTACATGGTTAGAATAACAAAATGTTCGTTTAAATACAGACAATTTAGATGGAAGTTTTATTGTTTGCGTTTGAAAAAATTCCGGACATCAAGAAATATACCGGACTTATAAAGAGGCTGGGCCGAGTGTTGTTATTCTGCGGCACAATGTTGTTGTATTTAGAGAAGTGTGTGGGCCTAATCCACCATAGCAATCTAGCAATCTCAGTATCATTTACAATCAATTATGATTATGATAATCAATCAATGTACACCAAGAAGGTTGTTTGGTTTTTCAGTTGATATAAAACTCTAGGAATTGAATTGATGAAGTTTTGCGTATATTGAATGAAATTCTTTGGAAGGCAATAAGCTACATGTTTGTGGTATGTAATATACACTTATGATATATGCAAAAATGCACTGAAAATTCGCATAATGCTGGCTGCAAAAGTTTGTAGAGTCTGTGTTAACGTATCATATGAATAGGAGCAAGTACATTCCAGTTTAAAAGCGGAAATAAATTTGTTTTAGGGCTACAGTTTCAAGTGAAAAGAAAGAAGCATATTATTCTCTCTGATGGAATCATTAGAGTCTTTGAAGGACCATAAACGGAAGTTTTCAACATCAGGAGGAGCAGTAAAATGGAAGTAAGTTGCACAAACTAGGTTTTGCACAACCATTCACGTAAATGTGAAAAAGGGTCAAAACGTAACCAAAGAGGGTCAATCCTGTTTGCAAAGCTCGAGAAAACTCTATATAGGTTCACACTTCTTAAATGACATCATTATTGAGGTATCCTGTATGTTTTGGGACAAAATTCGTAAATTTAACAAACTCAAACTTTCTTGCCTGCCTGTTTTATACACACAGAGAAAACTTAGATTTGAAGGTAATGTGTCCATATAAAAGGACTACGTATACCCAACATGTAAAGTAACATCAAAATAACGGTTTGCGATTGGTCAGTATTCTTGCGATGCAAAACTGCTCACATGAAAAGCTAACCTCGCAGCAGGGTAGATAAACAGAACGACTGAAATGGCTTGGATGATGACATGAAAAGTCACATGTTTCTGAAAAGTGGAATCTATCGAGAGTAGGTTAGCATACCCTGTTTATATGATCCGGTGCTGAATCACTGTACTTTGAGCTAGTGATGACAGTAACTGGTATAGAATCGGAGAGTGGTCGAAGTTTATTCAGCAGTCTAAAAGAGGAACGAGGAAAAATAGAACCTGACTTAAGCGTGAGATAATTCATGCTACTGAGTCAAATAATGTCATAATTGTAGTTCCTCAATATACCACACCACAACCATATTCGAAAAAAATATATTTGATTCGTGGGTGCCGCTAAGGAATGGCTGGGAGACTACAACATCCCTGTTTTGAATATTTGAATCTCAAAGCACTTTTGAATGAGTATAAATGCATCATTTTAACTGTGCAAAAAATCTACTAAATTAAAACATAAACGTCTACGAATGTAATACTCCTTTTCAATTTTATATGGTTTCATTGTCTCTATAAAAGCAGAAGTTGAAGGCATAAAAGCAAGGGGCAAAGTATTTCAAATGACCCGATACCCCCTTTCCCCTTGCTGTCATCCCCATCGTTGCCACTGCTTGATACACCAGCTGCATGCATGATAGTTGAATGCATATCGAGCTTAGGGTTGACATCTTCTCAAACCTAAACTTACAAGCTTCATAGCAATCCTAATAGATGTTTTTAATACCTACCTTATTTGCGCTAAGCTCTCGTTAAGAAAGAAATGCTCCTCCACAGCTGAAAATAGATGCCCCGGTTTGCAAAGTAGATGTTTCTGAGTTGTAAGCAAAAATCAATTATATTTAACCATAGAATTTATCATTATATCCTCAAATTAGAGCAAATGTTCAGATGTTTAAAGGTAGGAACATTAAGTGCCATCTTACCAGGCAATGGCCATTGAAAAATGGCTGTTAGCAAAAGTATATTGTAAGAGTAGAAAACAAAGCAACATAAGGCATTTTCAAAATGAAAACATCATGAATGGGGGCTTTTGTTACATTTGCTGAAAACTGTAATCAGAACATTTCTTGGTTGGGGAAAACGAGAGGTTACATCTTATATAACTTTGTATTAGAACTGGAAACTTCATATCTAGTTTTGATTAGAAAATAGCTATGCCTGGAAGTAGTCTTATCGTTTTATAATCCTTTGGCACACTACTGAGAAATGAAATAAAATGAAAAATGCATACTTGTCTCATCTGAAAACTTTGTGGCAGATCTTCACTTTGAATAAAGCCTCGTATAGCACCCAAATGAAGTCCTATTCTAGTGAGACCACAAACAGCTAGGATATGAAGATGTTGCCAGGATTGCAGAGATGGCCCAAGCCTAAAATACACAGCAAAATAAAGTTGACAACTTGAGGAACAAAAAGGCTTGTTATTCAAGATAAAGGAAAATGGAATGGCATTTCATTCGACCCTAGTAAAGCGACATCTTTTGTGCCTGGGCTATCAGAGTAAAGATATCAAATGGACTTTGTGATTTAATAAAGAAAACGGGTATTGTGAAGCAGCTAGAAGAAATGATTTTGATTCTATATAATACGTCAGCTTGGAAGCGGATCACAGCCAAATTATGAAATACCTTTAATGTTAATAGCATATGATATCAATTTTGAGATTGAACCAATAACTGAATTCCTTTAAGAATTAGAAATAGCGATTAGTACTGAATTTCTTTCATATGTTTAATTTTCTGTTGATTTCGTTTTCCAATTTATTTCCCCTGAAAAACAAAATATATTCAGCATGTCTGCTTACCAAAACTTTTCCCATTCGCCTTTCTCCATTGCAAATAAACCATCGAAGAGCGGATTTATTAAAATCAATGACGTCACATCACTGAAGAAAAAAGGAGCATCGAGTAATTTATAAGCTACAGATTGTTTAAATGTACTGATAATAACATCAAACTTTGATCCTTTTTTCTAAAAAAGATGATTGTGCAGCATGTTCTAATGGTTTTAACAACTGGTCGTGTGCAACAAGGGGCGGTGGTGAAGATACATTTTGAAAAGTAAATTATCCTTAATACCACCGAAATCAAATTTACAAGCTCATCATCATAAATAGAATGATTTGCAGAGCCCAAATTTTTCATCAAAAGTTATAAAAAATAACAAACTCAACTATAGCATCAAAAGAAAGGGTTGGCACTTTTGATAAGAATCAGAGAAGGAGGGAGGCAACATTGCGATTTGATCCCCTTTCCATGATGGAGTTGGTAATTAATCTGTTTTCCAAGCTACCCATTCTCTCATTTACATCATAGACATGCGAATTACATTGAGAAACTCTCAATCGAAAGAAAAAATAATATTGGCAAGTGTAGATAGATTATCTTTAACGGCGAAACTTTTGTACCACATCAAAACTTTGAATTACGTTTATCTGGCAACCTCAGCAGCATAATTGTCTAAAAATGCAATTATTCTCTACCCAGAGATTCATGGTGGCTCGCATTCTCGTTAGTCTGACAATCTATTTAAATGATCTTACTCTTGGTACATCTGAGCATAGAATCTTGCATTAACAGCGCCAATTTCAGCTCCAACCAGCAGAAATGGTTTTTCGTGGCTAGTTTTATTAGAAAAGAGCAATCTTATGTCATCAACCATCCTAGAAAATAAATCATTTTAATATTACAATAAAAATAAATATGCATTTGGAAACGATTATTTCGAAACGGTTAAGTCATTCTATTAAGTCTAATTGAGATCATTAACTTTCTACACGAATACTTCTAGAAAGCAGGTAAAACTGGATGTATTTTATGTTCTTAGTTGACAGCCCTTTTAGCCAAATTTTCCTTTTATACTTTGTTTTTGAAGTTTGCAAACAAAATCTTTCTTTCTCAGTGGCATTGCAATGTTTTTGTTGCAATCTTCTTCTGTGATGAGATTTTTCCTTAAGCTTGAAACAAAGGTATAATGGACAACAAAGCATATTTTGGAAAGAGCATATTTTCAATTACCCTTTTTGTGCCTGGCTTTCTCCCTAAAGACCACTTAGACCCTTCTCAAAATAAAATTCTGCAGACTATAACAGCTAAACCTACTACTGATATCTAAGAAGGGGGCAGGCTACACTTCGGTAATTGAAACCTTCTGCTTCATTCTTTACTAATGGCCACTGCAGAACATTCTATTAGAGAAAAAATATTTAAAACTAGCAGGTACTACTAAAAAGCATGCAATTCTACCAAAATTACCTTACGATAGGATTACCTTTAATTCCTTCCTTGATATTTTAGATAATTAACACTGACTCAGACAAACATAAGATTCTATCCGGTGACATACTAACCTTTCTGTAGTGTGGAATGCTCCTTGCTTGACAGATGCATTGATATATCGCTGTAAAATATAGTTTTGTCAAAATATCTCCCAAGAACACCAAGAAAGATTGTACAAATCATAATGAAAACAACATTTAGATTACGGTGATGTAATGCACAGATAAATTCGAATCGTTAAAATTATCTGCAGCATTTGCAACGACACGAGCCTTGAGAGTGGATGAACAATAGGCTGAATGGAGAATCGTTAAGTTCAAGAAGATGGACTAGGCCTCTAATTCTTTCTACAAATTCGCCAATAACTCAGCTCCTGATTACACAAGAGTCTCTACAAATCAATTTCGCTGTATAAAGTCACTGTCACTGAGCCGTCACTGTATAAAACAAATCAATTTTTTAAAGCAGGTAGTTTTATGACAAATAAGAGTAAAAGCAGAAAAATTCAAATATAGCTTTAGTCCAACTGCTCATTTGATTGTTTTAACTTGATCGTTTTACAAGGGCATCCATTTCTACCTACGTTTTCAAAACGAAATTATTTTCATAAAAAGGTCACTTACAAAATCCATATATGGCATTAAAAATCCAAAAAGGATCCCATAATCAGCTCAGTTAAGGACTGTGCCTAGCAAGCTCAATTTTCACAAATGTAAACACATTTCAGAGAAAAAGTCAAGCCAATGTTTCAAAGCAATCAACGATGGCGTAGAACATACGGAACGCCGAATGTTGCTTTGCCATTGTTTCAGAGAACAGAGCTGTAGTCTACTCGCTGGTGTTAATCGAGTGCTCTAAATTTTTAGATGTTCTGTAGCTCAACACATCAACTTTTTGCAGCATCTTTCATACGGAGATGCAAACTATCCTTTAGAGGCAAACTCTTTAACCCAAAATTTAGCCATTTAATTAAATTTCGAAACGGAACGCCTGAATAACTTATCTACTCCCACCACAAATATCCCATGCCAAACCATCCGTGTTTAGTGTTGTCTTTTTCAGTAGCTTAACATGTCGACATATCCTGATCATTTATATCTATATTTTATTGCTAATTTTTTTCTCGTATCATTTTTCGTTTTAAAGAATGGCCATTGGGTAGTTATGTTATTTTGCTCCCAATGGTATCGTTTTTGTAATGTCGTATAGGTGTGAAGTAATTATGGTAGTCCAGAGGAAAAGCATGCCTTGATTAACTATGGTACAAAACAATCAATAGTTTTAGCCAAGAATGAATGGCATTTCCTGTATATTTCATGTGCATTTGCTAATTACGTAACAGAAAAACCATTCACCCACAAATAATAGATTGTTTTTTCCAAATAACTACTTTAGATTGCAATTTCTTCACTTTTAAGAGCAACTAAATTATCTAGTTCTATAATTAAATACACAAAAAATCTACGCAGAAAGATCTCATTTCTAGCAGGGCATCGTCATTCATTGCTTCAATTATTCAACAGTAAAATAGCAATGATGTTATACTCACTTTTGGTCTTTCACTAAATCCAATACCAGCTCTATCATACATGCAGACCTGGAAGACATTCAAAAATATTCATAGCAATATTCATATTATAATTCAACAATATTGATATTTATGATATATTTAAATTATCATCATACCTCCTAAGAAGTAGTTAATTTGAAACATTCCATTTTTCTGTCTACACTTTCTTTATTCTGTTAAATTTTTGGCATCTCCAGGTCTTCTAGATTGAAACATCCTAAACCTTCAAACTGCACATCAGTAAACTGATTTCTGACACAACTTTCGACAAGATTAATTAATTACTGCTTTAAATCAATAATAATTACGATGACAAAGAAAAAAGCCAGAATGCTTGAAACATTGGACAACTTCTTGTTACATCATGACAATCCGTCAAATAGACAAATCCGGTACTAGACAATTCCTTGTTGTGCCATTAAAAAGACAAGTCAATTTTATTAAATTAAATGAAATGTTTGGACTCTAGCTAGAGTCATCTTCAGTATATAATTATGGGCAAAAAAACAACTTTTTTAAATCAGATTATAAAAAACCTTCTAAGTGATATGCTACATCACTATGGAATTCAATCAGAAATGGGTTCATGCTGGTGGATTTTCTTGAGCTGGTTAAAACATGCTTTGATAGAGAAAGCTAGTCGTGGACCAACAGATGGTAAGTTGAAAATAAATGAAATTTAAAAGCTGATAATTACATTTAATAACTGTTGACTATATCTTTACAAAAGAGAAATTTGATAAGGTTTGTATGTTATCAACAAGAATCACTTCCACATTTCAATTTCTTATTCTGCATTCTGGATTTCTTTTAAACAACAAAAATTGCATGCTAATACGAGTTTTTGGTAGATGGTCAGTAATAAGACCATTGTTTTATTTTGTAGAAACAAACAATTTGTAAGGAAACACCCCTAAGCTTTACACCCCATCCACAAGTATATCTACTTATGTTTGTAAAGGCAATCTTTAAAACGCTATTTGTGCATTTCCATGTTGATGATCATAAACGATACATTTCTAAATTATGATAAGATAGCCTCCAACCTATTTTTGGCAAGAGGCTAAAATGATGACAGGAGACACAAAGGTAAACAGAATATCTCAAAAGTTCAGTTAAAAGAGGTTCAGACATTTTTTTGGTACTTGTCTTTTGTACCAAACAATGCAATGGCTTTTAAAAGGGAAGTCTAGTTTGAGATTGTGTCTTCTTGTTTGCCTGTTTGCAGTTGTTTTAGAGAGGCAAAAGTGCTGTGCAGATGCTCAGTGTTAATGGAAAAAACCCCTGTTGATGTGCAATTTTAAAAAATTAAAACCTAAATTTGTGGACAAAGGATAGATTGCCAACTAAAAATGAGAATTGCTTTTGATACTAAAATTGCATTATAATGTATGTAATTATTAAATATTATCAATTTTTCAATAAAATTTCTACCAGTAGTGAAAGTACCTTTGTCTCTTTGGATAATTCTTTAAAAATATAATTCCATACATCAGAGTTCAGTCCAGTTGGAGAATCAAGAATGACTGAAAATAACAAAAAGTTCTAAAAACTAGAATGTCCTAATGCTTCCATAATTTAAAAATTTAAAAACGTAACATGTAATAAAGTTTCTGAAGTTTTAGGTGGACTGCAGGGCAGTGGTAAGATAATTTGATGAAAAAGTACTTCACCAAGGATGGTATAATGGGGTCAGGGGCGGACACTTGGTCAAATATTGGGGGGGCAAGCCTATTGTTTTAATAAGATAACATCACATTTCCCATTGTTTTAGAACAAAAGACCATTGTTCTCTAAAGTATTGGGGGGGTTGATCGCCCCCCCTCGCCCCCCAAGTGTCTGCCACTGAATGGGGTGTTCATTAGATGGGGTGCAGTAGAGGGAATCAATAAAGCACATACGCTTAGAGATGGGGAGCCATAAGTTACCAACACAGCATATAATCACATAAATGCAGCTAAAATAGGTGCAAGTTAATTCATCACCTACATAAAAATAACCACCAACCTTTAGCTTAAAGGACATGTCATTTTTCACTGAGAGTGAGAGATAATAAGATGCACACATAAGGGAGGGGCAAGTTACCCATAATAGAAGAAAGTCTTGCAGGGATAGAAAGATTAAATTTTGCAGATATATCACATGAAAAACAAATCTCTAACTTTTTAGTATGTTTACTGGAAATATTCCCTTAGGAAGGTCCAAATAAATGAAATTATTGTTAATTAATTTGTTACCACCCACCAGTTGGTTTTCCTTTTCCTTCGCATTGAACAAAGAGTCGTTGCCCAAGAAATGTTTCATTGAAATCACCTGTGAATTAAACTCTTGATGATTACTGTCTTAAATGATTCAAAACTGCAATGATGAATAAGAGATGGTTAACATGATTGCAAAATTTAATTTCAAACAAGGGGATGAAGCAAGCGAGCAAACACATTTATAAGATAGCTTGTTTTCTCAATGCGGATTGTTTGCTCAAAATACTTTCCTTCAATATTGTCAACTAATGAAGGTTCCAACTGAAAGATTCCAATAAAATACATAATTGCAAATTAAGCTGATGACATCATACTTATTGAAAATAGCAATGTCTGTCTTCTTAGATTTGGAATCTTAATGCAGATGACCCCAATTACTGGAAGTGAATGAACCCCCTTTTGAGTTTATTTGCAGTAAATGAGTCCCCCTTTGTCCATGACACAATTGAAAATGCTGTTGACATCGTCTAATTCAATAGAAACAGGTGTCTTTCTTGCTAAGGATATGACTAGCTTATGATGAAATCAAATGAACATGTAAAGTGTAACTTCTGTGACCTTTTGAGACATTTCAGCAAGCTTGCTGTTTGACTTTAGTGCTCGACAAACCAACTACATAGATCACTTTTCCCAAAGAAAAAGTGTGATTCTAGTTGTTTCTACAATATTTTTTCAAAATAGCTGAGTTACAGATTAACACAATCTAACCATAACTCTAAACTCAGCTCCGATAGGCGCTTCCATCAACATACCTGTTTGCATAAATTCTTTATCTTCTCGTATTAATGAAGCATAATTCAAGAGAGGAGGTATAATCACTGCTAAGAGAATAAATTTGAGGGTATTTTTAAAATAGTCCTTATATGAAGATTTCTTATTTTCTACTTCCAAATCATGGGCATTAGCTCCATCAGTTTCTTTTTCATCTGGAATAGCTTGCTTTGAAACCTGCAACAAAAATTCATATGATCAGAAAGAATCTGGGGTAGTAAATGGAAACTTAACACTGACTAGCACAATCTATAAAAAATTTACTAAAGAAATAGGCAATGAAATTGTATGCTTTGCCAATTTTTAAGCTTACTGGGTAGCTCATCTCTCATTGGTACCAGTGATTTTTGTTTGATCTAGGATACGATCAAATAATTGATTTCTTGCAGTCAAATTGGTTTGATAAAAAAGGCTTTTACAGATTTGGTGCTCTTTTATCATCTTTGAAGTTTTTTGAAGCAAATTTAAATTTGTAGAAAAATTCAGCTTTAACTGCAGTTTTTTGTGCTACTGCTGTAAAGTATTCATTGAAGATTTGATTGGTTTTAGATCAGTGCTTAATTTATCATCGATTAGAAGGCAGTGGTCATGTGATAAATTTTATCGATTCTGAATTACCGTAATGCTTCGATTAAACGCCTCACTTAAATAAAGGCCTCAAATATTTTAATTTTTTTTCAATAAACACCCCCTTCAGAGCGAATCATCAGAGCAAATCGTCAGAATCGTCAGGACTTTATAATTCAAAGGTTTCACATTTGTGTCCATAAGAGAAAAAACCCTTCAGAATTGAGAGAAGGATGATCCCATTTTGGAAACTAGAAAGATACAGGAGTCATGTGCTAGAAATAAAAAGCATCTTTCAATTTTGACGCGGACATCTGATCCCTTCAGACAAGATAACAGAACAGCAAGCAAACCGTATCTCTAGTTGAAGACATCTTAATCGATTTACTCAAAAAATTCATATTTCATATCTACTCATATTCTTTCGGATTTTGTTTTGTTGCCAATGCTATAGAAACATACTGAGAATCTTTCACAGTGAAAGATTCGAAGAAGAAACAGCTTTGAATTGCTCTCTCTCCAATCTAGGGAACAATCAATTTACACACCAAGATACTTTGTTTTTCAATTTCAGAACTTCATTCATGGTTTTGCTTAGTCGAGACCAGAATGGAATGAGTTTTAATGACATTCAAAGAAAATTGTTTCCTAACAAAGTTTTAATTTGCTCTGATATCTTTTCGCCGTAAATTCAGTAAGGTATGTAATATAAACAAATTAACTTACTCCCCTCTGTTTCAACGTGTTGCTTTTCTTTGAAGCTGCCATTTTGATCAGCTCGTGTGACTCGTGTTTCCGAACCCCTGTGGTAGTTGTTTAATAGAGATCATTGTCCCCCCTGATTTGCACCATTCGCACTCACCAAACAGGGGCGTAACTTGGCCAATAGGTTTGGGGGGGTGAAAAGGGTTTCTGCCCTGCAAAACTGACTGGTGCCCTGCAGACCTCGTAGCAACGGTTTGTCTATAGGTTACTAGTGAAAGCTTTACCAGTGTACACTGGTCTTTACCAAGGACAAACTTCTAAGCAATAAAAACAAACTTGAAACTTCATTGCCTATGAAATATCTATTTCTCTAGGTGAGCGTAATTTTTTTTATATTCACTTCATTTAATGTTGGTTTGCAAAATACTAGCTAATAAACAGCTAATGGGGGGGGGGATACATGATGCAGACAGCGCAACGAAATTTAGCTCAGGGGGACTAAGAATCAAGTTTAGTGAGGTAGGAGGACCCACCATGGTTGGGTCCGACGTGAAGAAAATT